TATTTTGTACAAAACAATATATTATCTATAGGAACATTTGTAGGAACATTTGTGTTTTAAAATTTCTTCCAGAAATTGATGATGGGTTGTTATTGGTGGTTTGTTTGCTAAATTTTTGCAAAACATGCTACACTTTTTCTGTCTTTGCTCTGTATGGTACTATATTGGATATGAAAAAAGGCTAATTTCCAGTGGGGAAACCTGAGGAAAAAAGGAAGGGAAAAGCAAGAGTTATTTACCAAGAAGTACTACCTGTTCAATTACAATTTCAGAATTGAATATGATCACTATCATCAGTTTCTAATTCTTTTTGTTTTACATTTTATGGACTGGTGAAAAACCAAAGTTTTGTGTCTACTGGGATTTTTTTCCCCATCCTTTTATATTTTACTTTACTTCCTGATTTTTCTAAACATGGCCAGATTCTTAAGCACTTATGTATTATAATGGTTCTGTGGGATTTACACACATGACTCTCCTTTCTTCTGTCTTCAAGCAATCCTGAAGTGATTCCAAATAACTATAGATATTGCAAACAATCATATTACTTTGTGTTATTCCCTTGATTTTACTTGCATAGAAAATAATGGTATATCATTGGTTGCAATTTCTTAGGGAAAAAATTGAAAAAATTCTGGTAGAAATTTTAAGACACAAATGTTAATATTCCTACAGATAATAATTATTACAGTATGTACAAAATAAAAAGACCAAGGTGTTGTGATGAAAAATGCAATTAAGAAGAGGACTTTATATTTGTGAAGGTTTAAATTTGGAAAAATTAGATAAGGAAAAAATAGTTTGTTATTGCTGTATTTTCCTACTGGGTTTTACACAATGGTCTGTAGACTGCAAGAAAGCTAATACTGTTCTGGGCAAGTACTTTCTTGAATTTCTTAATTTTTCCACACTGTTACATTTTGGAACTGGCTGAAAATCAGTGGCATATAAGGTATTTCTTGATATTATTTTTCTGCAGATATTTTCTGTATGAAAAATGTCACAATAGATTATTTGACTAAAATACTTATCTTTCAGATATGTTATGTTGACATAATTCTCTTTCTAGGTGAGCCATTCTCTAACCCTTTGGCCCCAGATGGCCATGAAGTGGATGATTCTCATTCTTTTAATCAGTGAGTAGAGCTTTTAATTGTTTTTAAAGACACAACTTTCAGTATTACAGACCAATTTTTTTTCATATACATTGTAAGGGAACCGAGCACATTTTCCTCCAACAATAGGGTTTCTGTATCCTATACATAGAACTTTGAAGATTGCCAATTGTTCTCACACTTCTGTGGAATGCAAAATCTTAGCAGTACCACTTCATTAACCCCTGCTTCTATCTCCAATTTATACTTGAGGAAAAGCAAGCAATGGTGCAGTGGGAGGTAAGGGAAAGGAACTTTGTCAGTGGTGATTGGAATACATTGGCCAGCAGAAACCTGGGTATATTAGCTAATGAGATTAAGAAGGGCCAAAATAGCGTTTAATGTTGTAAGCTGCCTAGAATTGCCTAGCAGCAAGATGAAACAAATTTAATAAATAAANAGTACTTTGGAGAATAAGTTGAACCCCTCTTCTCTGTGGCAGCTCCTCAAATACTTGAAGACAGCTCTCATGTCACTTCTACTATGTCACTTTCGTTAAACTAGATATACCTGAATCGTTCCTCGTTCAGCTTAGCCTCCAGACCCTGTAGCATCTTTGTTGCTCTTCTCTGCACTTTCTACAGTTCTGGGATTGGTGCTGAGTTTTTTACTACATATAAAAAAAGCAAAAAATTAGAAGAGCAGCGATGGAACGGCTGATTTATGTAGAAAGAAATGCGGCTGCAAAGCGATCAACATTTTTGTAAGCAAGCAAATAGGCCCTATTTAATAGGGCTTCATAGGCTCAGATCACCCAAAATCCGAAAGTTCGATCTTTACAGTCTACATCACAAAGTTCTCTATAAACGTTATATATTGTTTTAAAAAGTGATGTACTTAAGTTTTTAAACATTTAGGCAGAGAACCCGAAAAGCCGTTGAAATCAACTTACAAAATAGCCAAGCTCATTTAAAGTTCCCTCAACCTGCAAAAAATAATTATGTTTTTCAGCGTTAAAATAAGACTTGAATGAAATACATATTTGTATTTGAATACATATTGAAATACACATTTGCACTTGAATACATATTGAATGAAAACGGGTGTTTTTGCTGCAATCTGTTGAATAGACATGCTGAAGTCTTAGATTTGCCCTTTATGTTTAATGAGAGATCATTGAAAGAAAGGGCTAACTTAATTCTGAAAATGAACCCGGAAATTGCCCATCTCGACGAGTCTATAGATGAATTATAACATATCTCTAAGCTCCCGGAGAGTTTCCGCGCAGCGCACGCGGGTTAAGTTGTCTTCCCTGCGCGGTGCCTTGTGGGAAAGAGGCAGAGCTCGGTGGAGGTTGTTTATCACCTTAGTCGGAGTCGTTTATAACTGAAGCGACAATGCCGGAGCGAGACAGTGAGTGTCACCTTAAACCTGAGTGGGGCTGGGGTGATGGTGAGAGAGAGTCGCCGAATTGCCCTCGGACTTTTTGTTGCTGGCCTCCCTTTTCAAATAAAGGACCAGTGAATATATTCTGAGGGACCGAGGCCGCTGCCCTCCCTTCCCTGTTTTATTCGTGTGTGTCCGGTGGGCTGAATCATCCATACAAAGGGGGCTGGGAGGGGGGGTCTTGTCCCCATGTGATGGGTACAGTAAAGCCATCCCTAATGAACGAGGGACCCTCTCTCTGAAGAGAATGAACGGCCTAGAGCAGGGGGCTTTTCGATTCTAATTGCAGCTGGGGGTGGGTGGGGAGCCTTTATAGAGTCAGATGGGCAAAAGACCATTGTGTGAAACCCAGCAGGAAGATACAGCGATAACAAACTATTTTTTTCTTACGTTAATTTTTACAAATTTAAATCTTCACAAATATAAAGTCCTCTTCTCAATTGGATGTTTTTGTCCCAACACCTTGGTTTTTTATTTTGTACAAAACAATATATTATCTATAGGAACATTTGTAGGAACATTTGTGTTTTAAAATTTCTTCCAGAAATTGATGATGGGTTGTTATTGGTGGTTTGTTTGCTAAATTTTTGCAAAACATGCTACACTTTTTCTGTCTTTGCTCTGTAT